GGGGGGCCGGCTGCCGCCGCAGCAGCGCTCGCCTGTGCGGGGGACATGGGAGTAGCTGCCGCCTTTAGTCAGGTATCCCCAGGTGCGATGGGTGTCTCTACCGCCAGAACTACTGTCATGTGGAAAGAATGAACTGGGTTTTTTTTCCCCTCTCTCCATCTGAAAGGAGTATTTTTCTACTCCCCCGCCCCCTTCGCTTTAAAAGTGTAGATTCTTACTTAGTCCTTCTTTTCGGAAGAGTTCAAATAGTAGCCTTAGTTTAGGTGAGTAGGGAGGGAAACCTGGTCAGAGAGAGGACAGAGGTTGCTAACCAGGTGCTAGTAACCTGTTGCTTACGTTGTCTTAATACCGCTTTAGCTCCTACTCCAATGAAAAGTAACAAACAGTGACTTGGTTTTACCAAGGTTTTGCACAGCTTTTTCAACTAGAGAGTAAGAAGTTTCCAGTCAACAGCTCTGGCAGACCAAGAGGAACATAGCTTGACTTCCCTGGTATTTTAAAGGCTAAAACAAAAGCCGAGAACAAGAAGTAGAGGAAAAAAGAAAACCACAAGCAAACTTTTATTTCCCTGTGGCTTACGCTAAGTGTTCACTGAATGTAGTAATGTAGAAAACACTTTGACACATTCACAACTGTTTAGGTTAAAGATTTTCTAAAGACTTAGTAAGAGCTGGAGGGTTTTGAGAGAAGAATTGGTGGATGGCCTCTTACTGCTACATAACTACTGGCCAGAAAGTAATTAAGAGCTTTTTATTACTCTAGAAGTTGTTGAGTAATTCAAGCTAAATATTTCTTTGGAGAAATACAGTCTGATAACCAGTAATGGAGTTTTGAAGTGCCAGGAAAAGAGAGCTGAGATGACTACTCAGCTAATGAAAAGATGAGGCTGGTACTACAGTGCTGTGTTTTGTGGTGTTTACATTAGAAAGTGTGAATCATCTTGATAGTACAGTGTTTTGTAAAGTCTTGTCCCTGATGTAAAATAGCTAAATGAGATGTCGTTCACCGGGACTGGAGGTAGTGTCTTGTGCTTCAAGAGTTTAAATAAATCATCTGCAGTATGAAAAAAGCTATATTGATTTATTGGTCATACTGCTGAGTGCCTTCCTAGTGTTGACACTGTTTATCAAAAAGAGCCGTTGCTCTGCTGTCAGTGAAACACTCATTTAGTCCCAATTTTACAAATGAGATTTTAGCAATAAATACAGAAACACAAATAAAAAGGGGCCTTAATAATGATATTTCATGTTTGCAGTGTTTTGTATTTAGTAATCATTTACACAAACTTTAGAGACTCATTATTAATGGCAGCCTTGGAGTTTTCAAAGAGGTTTGCCAATATATTGGAAGGTAACTAGGAAAAACTATCAATTGATAATGAACTCAAAGGGTATATAGACTAAAGGATACCATTCCAGGCAGTTGCTGTGCTTAAAAAATAACAGATGAGGTGCTATTTTTATCGTCCTGGAAATTCCCTATGAAAATTTTTCATTCCTCAGTAAAACAAATCTTTATGAATTCAGCTTCACTGGCTGGGGAGTGAGAGTTCCTCCCCTTCTGCAAAAGCTGAAAAAACTTAATTCTGCTGTGGAATTACTGGGCAGCTTGCAGGAATCAAAGCCACAATCCTGTGAGTTTGCAGGACAGCCTTTGCATCTCTTGGCTCTATAACCTGAGTTCTGCACATTTGTATCACAACTAACACACATTATGTGGTTCTATCCATAACCTGTTCTTGTTTCAGATCACCAAACATTTTGGGAAATGTTTCTAATATTGGTTTTATATAAAATATGTAGAAGATATTGAAAGCACTAGCAGTTTCAACCTTTTATCAATAAAGGTTGAATTAATTATTAGTCACATCACCTTATTTTCATTATACCCACCATAGTTTGCAGATCTAAAAGTATCTTAAAAATTTAGCTAAATTCCCTAAATTAGTAAGACTGCTGTACACAAACCTCTTTTTTCTTTTTCCTTTTTTTTTTTTCACAAAAAGAAAAGCTGATCAAATAATGACTAGACATTGAGTCTAGGAACCAGAGCAGGGGTAGCACCTGCTTCTGAGTTTCCACAGCACTGAGTGCAGTGAACCTGATAAAGGCCCACACTGCCCTTAACAAAGTTCATGACTCAAATTAGTTTTGATCATCTACATGGTTGTATTACTTTTGAATAATGGTTCAACTCTTAATTTTTCTATCATCCAAATCCTGGCTAATTAACTTATTCTAGTTTGGGCAATATTTTTTGAAATAATATCCCCACTTTATCTGATGAGGTATCTTTACAAAAAGTGTATTTAAACAGAATATTTTAATACTGTCTGATTGATAGTCTTACAAGTATTTTGTATGTCATAGGTCAGCATTCTGGAAGTTATAGCTACGTTTAGAGATATGTCTGTCCTTTGTGTGCCTAATCTGAAACAGGATCTGATTTTTTAAGCATTTTTAAAGTGCAGATGACTTTCATCTAGTACTGCTTAATACAGTCCTGTGAGAATAAAGGTAACTTGGCATCCAGCACACTGAGGGTACAGGGGTACCATCATACATTTGACTTGCACAGATCTCCACAAGACGTTTCAGGTCCTGGAGTATGTGCCTAGTGACAGTTTGCTTTCAGGGATATTGTGCATGGCTAAAAGCTGCCATGAGTCTCTTATAGAGGCTCATGCTGTGTTGGAGATTCCTCTGCACATCTGATACCCCAGAGTATATAAATGGCCCAATTTGTGTAGTGAATTGACTCCCAACCTCAGTGTCTAATTTTTGTTTAGGTAGTGCACCCAGATGGAGGTTTGTCATGTATTATTCTAAATATACAAAAATAAAATAACCATTGATCACACTGGGTAGACAGGACATGACTCTAAAGAGCTTTGCTGAAATATCCACATATGGTCTGTTGCATGTTACTTTATTTGTCCCAGGAGAATTAAGATGATAGATGATAGCTGGGATTTGAACTTGTGCATCAGGAAGTCCACTTTGAATATAAAGGGGGCAGTATGTGTTTTGTGAAACTACCAGCGTAGAGAGGATGTAGTGGAATAATGGGTTTCAGTTTTTTTGGAATAATGACATCTCTGTGGAAACAAGGTAATTGTTTATAGTCC